ATTTTTCAAACTGCGGCTGTTGATGCTTTTCACCTATTGCAAAAAAAAATATTGTAAGTTCAACTATACTGTTATCATATTTAAGATGTTTTAAAACAATCGTAAAGCTTCCGTTTCAAAGACAAGCTCAAATCACTTGGTATCTATTCATATAGCTTCAGTTCTTTCTGTTGATCCACTAAGTATCAAAATAAGGTTATTGGCTGACCATACAGCTGTTTCAAGTATTGTCAAATACCCATCATCAGTGGTATTAGAAATAATTCCTGTAAATAATTTTTTTGAGAGTGCAAGTAACAGGAATCGAACTTGTGTCCTGCCAAATTTTAAGCTCAGAGTCAGCGCACCATAACCTTATACTTACAGTAGATCTCTTTTTCTATTTTACACCACTCTGTTTTTCCTACAGAGTTTGCTCTCTATGATTCATCTGATTTTTCAATAAATGTTCTCAACGTGTATAAAGAAAGTCTCAAGTACTTTATAAGTGAGTGGTCTCAAGTCCTTGGAAACAATCAACTATCTGTCCTGATCGTGTGATTCTAATATGATGTTAATTGCAATACCATTAGCACTGGTGAAAAAAATCATGACGTAAAATAAGATAGTTTGATGCTATCTTTACCGGCTTGAAAATACTAATACTACATAACTTATAGAGGAATTCTGAAGTAGAAAGAGTAATAGACAAATATGGTCGAGGAAATACTAGTCCAATGCGAATGACAATGATATTTAACTGAGAGCCATGTTGTGCAGATATTTACATGACAAGCAGATAGTCATGTTAGTTTCACTCTTCTACAAGTTCTTTCTGGTCATGACCATGAAGGCATGTTATGCAGACAGTCAAATCACAATTCTGAGTAACAATTCATACTATTACTGCTGTTTTGATATTCTTTTATTTTGTATGAATGTAGAATATAATATTATGTATGTGTAAATTATTAAATTAATTATTAAGCAATAATTAGTATTAGTATAATATGTTTTAACTGCCCTGCGCTAATGCACAAACGAAATAGGCTCCTAGACATGTATATTCTTACGGAGGCCATAAAACTCTGTAAAGTAGGTTCTATACTACTTTTTATTGACGCAACAGCGCTTAAAGAGCTACTCTAAGCCCAGAAGGGGCACAATAGACCCGACGGTCGCATTGCCACATCCCCTAACAATAATAATAATAATGTTTTAACTAAAGTGGAGAGGTAGAGAAACGTTGGGACCACTATCGGGTTTATTCGACTGTCTTCACTTGCTCTTAATATCAATTTTTGAATTTGCATTGACATATTTATAACTCTACACTTAATGTGAACATGACCGTCTGCATAACATGAAGCTAAATTAAAATTATAAAATTTCGAAGTAAAAAAAAAAATAGAATAAAAAAATTATTTTTTGTTTTTGTTGTTTTTGTTTATTTAAGTTTAACTTAGTTAATATATTTAATTTAACCGCATTTTTGCGATTAATAAAATCTTACTAATAAATGAGTACGATTATATATTGTATGTAAATATATATTTAGTTTACTAACTGTGTATGTGTATGTGTGTTTGTGTGTATTTTATTATTTGTTTCATATTTTTGTTTTTTTGTTTTAATTCTACGCATTTATTCTATTATATAATATATATAGTAACATAGTATATTTTTTAATAATTAATATATAATTTTGCTTAATATTAAGTTTTATTATTTCATTCAATTTCTGGATTTTCATATTTTATGTTTTGTATTTATACTAAACTCTATATATATGTAAAATTTTATAATTAACAGCTACTAAAATTAACTTTCTTCTTCTTCTTCACCTTCATCTTCTTCTTCTTCTTCTCTTTTCATTATCAATTATTATGCTACAAACTACTTAAATATTTTAATGTGTATATATACTTTTTGTTTTTGCTTTTATGCATTTTTAAAAATGTATAACTTAGAAAAAAAATGTTTCTGTTTTCTGTTTTTAATTTAATTTTTGTTTTTTAATATTAAATATATAAAGTTATGTATGCCATTTCATATACATATATATATGTATATATATATAATTTAATTTAAATATATTTATAATAATAATAATAATAATTACAAAATTACATTTTAATAACTTTTCTTTTATATTAAATTTAAATGAATTTTTATTTTTTTATTTTTTCTTCCATTCGATGCACACAAATACAAAACTGGATTTTAAAAAAAATTTTGTATTTATTTTTTATTAAATTTTTTTGTATGTATTTTATACTTTTTTTGCTTGTAAGTATTTTTTTTTTTTGTAAAAATTAATAATTATTTTGCAATACAAAATGAAACATAAAAAATTATAAAATATCACCAATTTTTTCATTTTATGCTTTTTTGTTATACATAAAAAATGCTTCCCTTTTGCTTTTCATTTTAATTGCTTTTTATTATATGTAAATAATTTATTTTTTATTTTATGTAAATTTTTATTATTTGATTTTGCGTTGTTAAAAATGTACTTTGTCTACGGTATAATATTAAATTGTCATGTTTTATTAAATTTGTTTAATTTTATTTAATTTTTTTTTTTTTTGATTATTGTACAATTTTGTATCAATTTTAAGTACTTTTTCAGCAGTTTTTTTTTTAAATTAATACTTTAAAAAAGTTTAAATTTTTAATATATGTAATAACATATACAACTGAATTTGAAAAATATTGTGAGTTCTACAAAACAAAAAATAATATAAAAACAGAATGAAAAATAATTTTAAGCTTCTTTAATTACTTGTATTTTGAAAATTATATATTTGTGTATATATGTTATATAGATATAAGTTATATATATTTTATTTTTTAAATTTCTATATATATATGTATATATATACACTATACATATGTTTTATATATATAAAATATATATTTTATTTACACATAACATATATTATATATAAATATTATACAATACATAATATATAATGTAATATAAAAAATTGAATCATGGCTTAAAATCCTTAAGTATCAAATGATATATTGTAATTGGTTATTTAATTGGACTCGTGCGAGAATATTTATGTTGTATGAATTAATGTTGATAATTAAATTAATATAGCAAGAATATTGTTAATAAAATTTACATAGAAAGGGATAAATATATGTATTTAGGAAATAATAAAAGATTTATTAATATTTATATTACTAAACATTAAAGATAATTAAACAAAAATTAATTTAAACAAAAATGCAGCATATTCACCAAAATAATGATAAAAGGAATTATTCAGAAAAATAAAAAGTATTAAAAAAAATTATATATAATACAATAAGATAATAAAATATATAAAGAAAATAAATTATATAAAGAAAACAATTATATAAAGAAAATAAATTATATAAAGAAAATATTTTATAATGAAAATAAAATATATAAAGAAAATAAAATATATAAAGAAAATAAATTATAAAAAGACATTGAAATACATAAAGAAAATAAAATGTATAAAGCAAATAAAATACACAAATAACAAGTTAAAGCTAATACATATATAAAAATTCTATGTACATAAAAATTAAATATATACGCACATATTACATATATATGTAATTATATATACATATTAACAACATATATGTAAATTATATTTATATATATAAAAGTTAAATATCCATGTAAATAATATGTATATAATAATTATATATACATAGTAATTTTATATATATAAAAATTGTATTTGCATAAAAAATATATACATAAAAAATTTATTTATATATAATACCGTAATGTCTGAATATTCCCAATAAATTATGTTTTAAAAAATTAATAAAAATATATATAAAAAAGTAATATTTATAAAAAATTAAAATATCTGGAAAAGTACGACATATAAGAAAAAAAAGGAAAAAAAGAAATATAAAATACCAAAAATATATATATTATATAAAAGATAGTAGATAATACATAATAAAATAATGTATAATATACATATATAAATAAAAATTCAAGAAAAGATTTACAAATAATATAAAATTGATAAAAACAAATTCAATATATATTTAATACAAAATAATTACAGAAAATTAATTTTATAATTAATTTAATTGCTACGTAATAATAATAGAGATAAATTTATATAATTTACATAATAAAGATAGATTAATACCATAGAATAAGGCCTTATGCAGCCCATGAAGATAAAGGAACTAACAACAACAACAATCTGAAAGGGTCTCGTTAAATACAGTACCAATAATTTTATATAATTGCCTTCTAAAATTAAAATATTAACTGTAAGAAATTCGTACGGTTTCAGTATAAAAACCACAAACTGCACAATAAAAATTTAAAAATACATATAAAGGGGATAAGATAATAGAGATAGAGAGAGATAATAGAGATAAGAAATCCAATCTGAAGACTTAATTGAAGATAAAAAATTTAAGTACGAGTGCCAAAAACTTGATATAGATTTGTATAAGAATTAATCAAACAATTTTTAATTTTGATTGCAGTTGCATTATAGTAACATATTATATGGGATATATTAATATTTTTAAATTAATATATATATATTACTTTATATTAAAATTAATTTTAAAGATATAAAGTAATAGTTAAGGCAAAATAATAAATTTAGTGGAGTCCAGTAAACCTATTACATTATATATACATTTAAAACTTAATAATAATTTTTTTAAATTAAATAAAAAACAATAGTTATAAATTTTTTTTTACTTAAAATAATAAAAGTAAAGCATTATTTTCAATTTCATAATTTCATAAAAATAGAAAGATGAATCAAGCATAATTATATATGCAAAAAATTTTAAAATTAAAGAGCGTAATTATTTCCCAAGCACTTTTGAAAAAAAGTGTTAAAATTTAAATTAGAAATAGAAATTAAAAAATAAATTTTATACAATACATAAAGAAAAAAATTAATAAAAACTTTTTACACAATTTAAAAAAATATTTTCTAAATATACAAATAAAAAATAAAAAAAAATCAATTAAAGATTTTGTTCGATTGTACAATAAATTTAAATTGGAATGTTAAAATTGACGCAACATTTCAAATTACAAAATACCGAGACAAAGACGTTCAACACAAATTCGTTTATATGGACAAATATACAAGAGAAATAATATAAAAATATATTTAAAATTCATAAATACAAAAAACAGTGTGGCAAATTCAACAACAATAAAACGAAAACAACCTTTAAAAAAAATTTACATGAATGGATGTAATTCATGTAACTCCCCTACTAACCCCCCAGAGCAATCTATGCTGTATAGATAAATTCTAGTATAAAGATACTTATTGCAATATATCTTGTATATTAAAATTATCATTATCTAATGAATTGATCAAATCTTGCGTGGAGAAGTTGCCACCATCAACGGGTAAATTATCCAAAAATTCGAGACATAAATCATTTGAGCTAGCGACAACAGAATTGATGGTTTGATTAATGGAATTGGCAGTGGCTGCATTTGGTGCATTATTTCCAGCCGCAACATTATTGCCGGCAACATTGTTGTTATTGCCATTACTATTGTTACCGCTATTGAGAGCTGCCTGATTGGGTATTGGCCCGGTGGGACCGGTACCCTGTTGCATTTGCAGCATTTGTTGTGTGTGCTGTTGATGTGTTGTTGTTGTTGTACCAGTGGCTGTTGTTTGTTGTACGAACTGTTGTTGTTGCATTGTTAATTGTTGTTGCTGTTGTGTCATGTGCATTGTTGCCATTTGCATTTGTGTCATCATCGTATTGTTGGCAGGGCCGGGCCCAGCGCCGGGACCCACCACACCACTCTGTTGTTGTTGGTGTAGCTGCTGCTGCTGCTGTTGTTGTTGTTGCTGCTGCTGCTGTTGTGTATGCTGCTGTTGTAGCATTTGTTGCATTTGCATATTAGCAGCATTTGAGCCAGCATTGCCAGCAGTTGAATTTGCTAACATTTGTTGTGATTGCATTTGCTGTTGACGCAACATTTGTTGTTGACGCATCAATTGTTGTTGCAGTTGTGCGGGTGTCATTTGCATGCTCGAATTCGGACCAACCATACCGCCAGCACCACCATTAGGACCATTTGACATAGGACCACCAGCGGAGTTGGACATAAAACCACCTAAAGTTTATTAAAAAAAAAATTAATTAATAATTAATTAATATAAAATTTATAATTATTATAGTTTATTTACCATTAAAACCAGCCGGACCTTGACGCATGGGTCCAGCACCGGGGCCAGGACCACCACCAAAGTCCATTTGTTGCTGTTGTGACATCATCATATGACGCCACTCTTGCTGTGAGCCAATTGGCATACCGTCTGGTGTTACTTGTACATTTGGCGGCCGTTGTTGTGGACCACCTGGACCCATTGGTCCACCATACGGGCCCATAGCTGAACGTGGACCGCCAGCACCGGAATGTTGCATATACATTGAATGTTGTGGACGCATCATGGGACCTGTGAAAAATCAAAAATTTATATATTTTATACAGAATTTTTATAAACTGCAAAAGCAAAAAAAAAAAAGACAAAAAATATATGAATAAAACTGACCTGAGGGCGGTATAGGCTGTTGCGTCATACGTCTCATAGCTGCTGCTTGAGCGGCTGCATTTGGAAAACGACCACCGCCGCCAACAGTTTGTTGCATCATTTGCGCTTGCATAAGCTGCGCTTGTGTAGCTTTGTATTCGGGCGGTGGTGGGCGTGCACCACTTAAATGTTGTTGTTGCTGTTGCATAGCTTGTGCGCGCAGCATTTGTTGTTGTTGTTGCAAAAATTTAGCTTGATTCATATTCATTGGCGGACCACCATTAGCGCCCATCATCATAGCAGCATTTGGACCACCAGGTCCAGCATTTGGATTCATAGCATTTGGTGGCACCATACCAGCCATACCTGCACCAGTCATACCTGCACCACCCATTTGGTTTGGAACACCCATACCAGGCATGCTACCCATACCAGCAGGACCACCAGACATGGTGTTCATAGAATTTGGACCTCCAACTGGACCACCTCCAACAGAGTTCTGTGCTGGATTCATTAAACCAGGTGGACCATTTGGTACGGTATTGTTAGCACTATTAGGACCCATATTATTTGGTCCTGCGCCATTGCCGCCTGCAGCATTTGAAGCAGCAGCTTGTGCTGCAGCAGCTGCTGCTGCTGCCGCCGCTGCTGCTGCTTGTGCTTGTGTTTGTGTTTGTCTTTGACGCATATTTGGTGGAACTTGTTGTTGTTGTTGCTGCTGCTGTTGTTGTTGCGAAAAGTTCATTGTTTGTGTTTGAGACATGGAGAAAACATCACTAGGACCTAGAGAGATGAGGAGAATATAAAAAATGTTCATGAGAGTTGCTCCTAATGCTGACTGTGTTTTTCTCTTACCATTTGTGTTGTTCATATTTGGATTTTGTTGCTGCTGTTGTTGTCCATGTGGTATATTGTTACCACCTGGATGTCCTTGCGTCTGTTGTTGCTGTTGTGCATTTTGCGCATTTTGTTGCTGTTGATGTTGTTGTTGTTGCTGCTGATTAAAGTAAACTCCCTGTTGTGCAGCAACTGAAACGTTGCTTTTCATATCACTACTTAAGTGTAAATGTTGTCCAGCAGAAACCTAGCAAAACGAAAAAATAAAAATTATTAATTTAAATCAATTAATATTATATGAGTCGGAAAGAAAATTAACTAGTTCTCATTACTCAAACTAGGAGAAGAAAAGCAACTTATTTAGAGAATATACATTTATAATAATGATAGTATCGAGAATTGTTAGTCCCAACGTTGTTCCCTTAAGAAAATTTTATTAAATACTTTTAATGTTTGTTCTTTGAACGTGTCACTGTT